ATAGCTGTTACTCTTAAGGGTGACTTAACTTAAAGGTCACATTGTTGCATATTCATTTTAATAACAGCAGTTCTTAATGTATTTACACACCAGTCCAGAGCATATACAGTGCATGTATATGTGGATATTGGGGCAAAAATATTGTCTGTGTAAACCAGAGTGCATAGAGTACTACTACAAATTATGGTTGTACAGAGCATAATAATATGGTACACAAATGTAAGCTCTTGCAAAGGGCAAAGAAGGGTCAGTGGTTATATATGCATAATTTCATCTTCTAATAAGTGGTCATATTTTTAATTGTACAGAATTAAGAGGTTTAACATTGCTCCTTTTTTGATAAGGTGTGAAGGGGTTGTGACTAATTTAAATGTCACAGAATAGTATGCACATTTTAAAAGCAGCAGTGTATCTTGGTGTTCAGAGAGGGAAGAACTTAATTTAGACAGTAGTTGTTTGTACCAAGTGTTTCAGTAAAATGACAAGCACAAAACACTCAAATCATGGGGATTCACCATTTTTGAACTGCAAGAAGAACAAAACACAGTGCCTTAGGTACAAGCTTTGGTTTATATTGGCCATTCAATATTTTGTGATAATATAAACCTGAACAAGTGACATAAATCTTGGAATACAAAAGGTCACTTGTGTGAAAGTTTTCTGGGCATCTTGTGGTTTGTCCTGAACTTGTACAAAAAAAACAGACCAAAATCAAGATTTTTTAAAGGATAAAATTAAAATAACGGAGAAGCGTTCTCAAGTCTAAATACTCGGAAAAGGTTGGACAATTTTAGTGTGATATTTATTAAGACAACAGCTCAATTTAAATTTTAGCTGTTTTTAATTTTTTACTCAGTATTTATTAATAACAGCATAGAGAGAATGTATATGTTGAACAAATGGCAGACATTCATAGCTTGACATTTATTAAGACAACAGCTTTTTTTAAAATCTTAGCTGTTTAATGTTTTACTCAGTATTTATTAATAACAGCATGGAAAGAATATGTATGTTGAACAAATGACAGACATTCATAGCTTGATATTTATTAAGAAAACAGCTTTTTTATAATCTTAGCTGTTTAATTTTTAACTCAGTATTTATTAATAACAGCAGATGGTGAATGTGTGTGTTGAAGGTCAAAATGAAATTCAGGTTTAAATGAAATTCCTTTGTCTCTTAACCCTAGTTATTCATGGTCATGAATAATTAGGGCTAGTGAGAATCAAACTAGATTAACATTTAACTAGATTTCATTTTTACCTACAACATGTATACTGTTGAACAGTTACACAGATCAGACATTTGTAGCTTGATTTTATTAAGGCAACAGCACAATTTAAAATCATAGCTGTTCTTTGAATTTTTAACATAGCATTTATCAACAACAGCAAATGTGTAAGCTGTTCATTATTGTAAATAATTATGCCTTGATGGCCAACACACTTCAGAGATTTTTAGCTTGATGTTTATTGTTAAAGATAATTTCTCAACAATACAGTGAGATGTGAAAGGTATTATTGTTGGAAAAAGGTGTTTTAGCTCATACAGGAAAAGGGTAAATAAAAATTAGTTGGCATTTTATTATGTTTTGTTTCACTTTGATTATCTGATATCTAATAAATATGAGAAAAAGGGATAATTCAAGCATTCAAGCACCGCTGCCCATTTCATATGGGAGTGCCTACCCCACAGGAGCTAAAACACCCAGGCATTTCCTTAATTTGTTAGGTCAGTTTTACTATACACTACTTCTTTACAACTCTATCTTTATCTACAAAAAGACTGCCAAGTCTACAACAGTGGAACCAAAACACCCCACTTTACACACCTACAAGGTGTGGTGAACCCACCACTCCCCCCTCCTCTATACAAGGAGTCATGCACTTCTGCAAGCCACTGTATTATCGAAATAATGTAATTATGAAGACATGATTGATCATTGATCATTGCTTATACATACTTAAGCAGTTGTGAAATTTAAGCCTGAAAAAAAAAATTAAGGCGTAAATTTCCCAACTGCTTAAGTTGTGTATAACAACTGCGATGATCAATCATGTCTTCATATCTTTTTCTCAAATATATGGTCTTTTATATAGTCACTTGCATCTTCACCATCTATGGGTATATTACGAACTCACAACGTGATCAGCTCCCAGTCAGCTTGGTAGCTCAGTTGGTAGAGCACTGCACCAGTATCGCAGATGATCAATCATGTCTTCATACCTTTCTCCACAGTTCAAATATATGTTCTTTCATATATTCACTTGCATAATCTAATTATGTTGAGGAAAGCCATATGTATTCCACTCCCCAAAGTGGAAGGCAATAAAAAGTTGGCCTTTGGTTAATTTGTAAACAAAAACCATTTTTTTCTCTTCTGATGCGATGACATTAACTTTACTTCCAGCTTTCTTCCCTGTGAGAGTCCTCTTGAAGTATTGCACAACTTCCCGCTCCGTCAGGCCAGAAAGAATTGAAAGCAGCTGTTTGACGGGTCTCAATGAAGAAAAGGAAATTGTTCCCGCCTTTTTGTTGGCGCTAAAAGACACGAATGGCTCGGCAAAGCCCTCTGTAGACTTAGTTACTCTTAGTAACACGCGAAAAACCTCGTAGGGGATGTCTCGGACAATTTCGCTTTGGAATGGGTTCCTTACCCGTCGTCGTCCGGCAAGACGTCTGTAAATGGCCTCCAGCCATAACCTGGACTCCAACCTCATGATGGTGCCCACTTGAATCTGGGTGTTAAGGATCTGGGAGGCTTCTACAGGTAAACCTGCAACTCTTCGCCGACTTAGGTCATACAAAGGGACAAGCATTGACACGCCGGTGTCGACGAAAAATGCCAGCATCTCCAACCTCCTTTAGGCACTCTTTAATTCTTGCGATCAAAGTGACCTCTTCATTCGCTTCTTCTTCGACATCAACGTCCATTTCTTCGTCCCTTGCAACCATTTCGAGCACTTCTTGTACTGAAAAATTAGCCGCCATTTTGAAATTAGGCGCCAATGCCGCGGATAACCGCTGAACAAAATGAATGGCGAACTTGAGCGATTTTGAGTCACTCTGTGCCCACCGTGTCATGATTCAATTTTTTATCGATCAACAGGAATGTATTGAAAAAATTTAAACGTTATAATGCAGCTACTGAAAAAAAAAAGACACAAATTGTTTGTCAGAGAAAAAAATTAATTCAAAGTAGGAACAGGTAATTTTTTGAGATATATTAACACAAGGGAATAGCTGATTTGAAATCTGGCTCTATTTTTCGTCACTTGAAACTAACAGTCTAAAAAAAAGAAACGTTTAGATTGAATCTTTCCTGTTTTGCACCCAGATTATAACCTATCGATAGGTTTGAGTGTCTGTTCACTTAAAGAGATAGATATCCTCTGCAATTACACCAATGTTATTTGAAAAACTTTGAATTTGCATTTAGTTTATAAACATGTGTTTGCGAAATTAATTGTCACCCTTGAAATTAAAAGTCAAACAAACGAAAGACAGTGTTGGCCGATAAAATTTTAGCTAACGGAGGCTCAATTTGTGCTGAGTTTAGCCACTCAATTTTCCCTGACAGATCTTGACCCATTTGGTGAGCACTATTCGAGGCTATCAGAGTGTTCTGTTTAAGGTCCGTAATTTATATAGACATACCTGAATCACTGATGAGGCCAAGAGCTTTTGATTTTTTGTAGTTTCCACAAACGTGGAAATAGGAATTGTCCTCTGTAAATGTCACTTCCTGACATGTAGTCCAAAATATACGTTCGACTGATGGTATACTGTGTTGCCGTTTGAGAATTGAGCGTGGGATTTAAGTGTTAATTATAAGCTATTCAAACAGCTTTGCACCTGCTAGCAGCTGCAGGAGAAAAAAACATATCCTCGCTCGTAAGCCATCATCTTTGCCATCGATTGGTTCAATAATATTAAGGAAGACTTTAGGATAAGAGTTGTAACCTGATCACAACGTTGTTGCATAGTGATATTAAGAGGTTACTACATAGCTCATTTATTTGGATTTGTGATGTGCACCTCGCCATTAACAAGGATGACTTAGAGATTTTCTTTGAAAGAGTCACTAGTACGTTGATGACAAAATTGTCACCATAATGTTATTATTTAATATTACTGGGTGATCGTCGTAATTTTCTTAATCCGAGGTTGGGGAAGAATTTTTTGTTATCAGAATTGGTAGGAGTATTTTCAAAGTAATTTTTTGTAATTTTTAAATCTATTCTATTCCCAACCCTTTTGTTAGTATACAACACATCTTTATCATCTATTTATTCCCAGCAAAGCAGGTATGAAAATAAATAGTACCACACGTTTATTTTCTTCTAGCGAAACAGAGCATCGCTTCTCTTAAATCTCTGTGTCTAGAATGTTTCTTTCCTTTTCTGCGCTTGTTATTTTATTTGCTGCTTAGAGATTTGGTAGAGATATCAACTGGCACCTTCAGGATTTGCACCTATTCATTAAGAAAGAGCTCGTTCACATGAATAAGTAATTATTTGAAGCTTTGGAGACTATCTATTCAGCCCTTGAATTCGAGATGAAAAGAAACAATGTCCGTGACATGCATTTCAATGAGTCAAATTACAAAACTATCAGTGAAATAAAAAAAAGTTCACATTCAGATCGCTATGAATTTGAGCAAATTTGTACAGTTGATTTCATGTTTTTGACGTGGCTATCAACATCTCAACGTCATTTCAGTGGCCGGGTTTAAAACAATATTGCTACCAAAAAGATAACCATGCTCATCTATTTTCGTTCCTATTTATCTTTTTTTTTTTTTCTATTTCTTTTTTTTGCGCCTCGTATAAGTTTGAAGTAAAACCTATCGCAGGCACGCTGCTTTTTCCACTCCCTCCAACGTAATCTAAGTCAGCTGTTAGCTTAGTTCATCTGTAAAGATTATCCGCTTTTTGCAATCTATTTTCAATTATCACTATCTTTGTCTTTTTATGATGATCTAATTTTCATAGAAAGTGGCAAACGTTACTTGGGATATTCATCGAATGAATATTCCTTTAAAAAAGAGAAATTCTTTATCTGTTTTGTGACTTGCTCCTTTTGCTCTTTGGTCCACACCACTTTGTCTCTTGTAACAGAAGGAACTCCAAAAAGAATACTACTACATTTTTCAAAGTAATCCTCAGAACAAGTAACTCCTAGATGATCGCATAACCTCTGCAACGTTTCTCTGGGTTTCAGCACTGTGTTGTGCCCTTGAATATCGATGACAGCATTCCCGTAACGTTCCCTAATGCGTTGGTTTGCAGCCGCTAAGCTGAAATATGACTTAATGGCTAAATCAAGTTCCTCTGTCATATTTACCTGGTGTAAGAGACGGACGAAAAAGAAACAGTTATGTTTTCCTCATAACGGGAATAAAAAATAAAAGCATTTTTGCATTGATTCCTGACATTACAGCGTGCAGAAGAGTGTTCAACCTCGCCCCACCCTCCTCACTGTCCCTTTTCAAACCATTTTCCTCGTCAGAAATGAAAATGCCTTCGTAATCTAAGGGCAACCTCGGCAACGAAAAATGATTTCTTTTTGAGCTGAGATGATGCTACAACTTTTTGTCTTTCACTATCTGCGTCGATAAGTGCGCTAAGGATCATGTGGGAATCTTATGTGTAGGAAGTATAACCTCTCATCATTTTTCTTTTGAAAATCATAATTCCTCTCGTTAGATTTCACATTCCTTTCATTACAGCTGAAACATTTTCATGTTGATATTTAAGAAAATTAAATGCTTGAACCTTCGTGTCCTTCTAACCTACCATTACTCCATCTTCTTTTACGACGTCACGTGACTCTGTAGCGCGGAGCATGATGGTTGCTATGTTGTCAAAGGGGTTTCTGATGACGTGAATGAATTTTATCGGTATCTGGAGAACTTCTTGAATTTCATAGAGGACACTCCAGTGATTTTTATTCCTTAAAGCATTTGCTGTACCACCGCCCTTTTTGTCGCCAATTACCTATCCAATAGGATTAAAACAAATTATTATAAATAATAATTTGCATAAAAGCAAGTTTGTCGTTTCCTTTGGTGATACACACTGGAAGGCCATATTTCAGTTTTTGGGTTAGTGACCGCATTTTGATTTATGTGATCTATAAATGAAAAGATACCCTTCAACGTGGAGTAAATTTATAAAAATAGATGGAACACCTTCCTTGACGCTCTAACCTTTATTCCTTTAAAATATCTTCCTTGCCATAAGCCGGGCACTTGGTAGCTATACCTGACGTTCAAAAGGGAGTTGTTGGCACGACGGCCAAATGTAGCGTCTCTCACCGAAAGTTCATGAAGGTCATAAAACAGTTGATATTTCTTAAAGCTTCTCTCAACCTCTTTTGAAGAGCGGAATTTTCCCTCCCAAGTTCGAAGCACGTGGTATTCATTAGCAATGATGATTTCTGGATGTGCATCTAAGATGGCAGCCACTAGGCTGTGGCTGCTGCGGGGGTATCCAATGAACATCACAAACGTCTCCACTCCATCGTACAGTTTGAAAAGATCTTCTGCTGAGGAACTGAGTGTGGTTGGCACTTCTGAAATCAAACCAGATTCATCATGCTATTCGACTGTTCATATAATCTTTTCTTACTCTATATCGGACTCATGTCCATCGTTCTGACGAGGGAAGTAGAACGACTTGGCCTTATTCTTATACCCGTGGAGTTATAATCAAAGCCTCCTCAAAGACGTTTTAACTTTAATTTAATGTTTGTACAAATGATGACCTGAGCCATATTCGGGGTCCCTCGCATCTAAGAGGGAGAAAATCGAAGGGCAAAATTCGAACGTCTGATGTACTTTTCTCCGTGGGGGACTCAAATTGTTCTCGTTATCCCGTGCTTGTGACAATTACAAATAACACCTCTCTTTATTAGACTACAGAACTCGAAATTCGCCATCTTTCCATAGAGAAGTAAGTATAAATAATGTGATTTTGAAATGGAGTGGGAGATCCAGTGGGGTCGAGTGGTCCGGGCTCAAAAACTGGCCGGGTCACTGTGTTGTGTTCTTGGACAAAACACTTTACTTTCACAGTGACTCTCTCCGCCCAGGGGTACAGATGGGTATGGGCAGATTATCAGGGAAGCCTGATGAAATGTTGGGGGTAACCTTGTGATGACTGGCATCGCATCCAGGGGAGTAATGATCATCCTAGTCGCTTCATGCTATGCAAACCGGGATAAGCTCCGGCTAGATTACCCTCTTGTCTCCAGTACAGACTTTAATCTCTGAAACGGATCATGTGATCTAGAGAATTTGCTAAATGGTGCTCATAACTATCCCGCACACACTGGGGATAATTGAGTAACCAAGCCAGTAACTATTTTACGTTCAGTTCGCCTTTTATGACGAAACTCGATTTCTTTCATTGCAAGATCCATGTTTTAGCATTTGACAAAAATTACTTCTGTCCTGTAATCGCTACATATATATGTATATAGATCAAAACTTTTTCCTTTAGAAACTGAACTTTTGACCTTACTTAGACACGCAAGCTTCACTCTGAAGTCACTACTTACACGTCGTGTTCGAGTGACGTATTTCAATATGGAGTCAGCACAACAACCACTTTTTAATGCTACGCGTATGCAACGAGTTAAAAAAAATTCATTTTCCATCAAGAAAACACACTCGAAGCGTTTTATATAGCTAATTCAGATACAAAAACAGCATGGGAGCTGCGGGGCGCTCTCATCAGAACTCCTTGTTATTTCACCTGCTTTTTGGATGGACTCTTTGTTCTCAGGAAAGTCATTCTTCGTCGGTGAGCACATCTGCAGAAAGATACTGGAAGCTCCATGTTCTGATTTGTTGATCACACAATAAATTACCAACAAGGAACAGATCAAAACTGTCGCATAAAGCAGCGAACATTTCATCTTCAGCATTGTTTCTGAAAATTCAAGAGAGGAGGGAATTCTTTCACAATCATGGCTCATATTTATGGCTTATTATGTGTATGTGTTTTTCCTTTAAATTTACTTCTTATGTTTAGGGATGCGTCGATGTACATAGCAATAGCACATATTTCACAGTTAGTGTCCCAATAGGAGTTCGCAAGGCCGACCGATAGCAGTAGTTCCTTATAACGCAGCTCATGGTTGCCTTGCATCCATACTTTTCTCTCTTCTCAACTTTGCCATCCATTAATGAACGTAAAAGGATGATTTTTGGTAAAGATGAGAAAAATAATCTTGTGTTCATAAATTTCATCTAACGTAGGTACCTCACCATTAGGACTGATTAATCTGAAGTTTCCAGATTATTGATGTCCTTTTAAGAGATTTTCACTGCCTAATAAACGGCTCTCTGGCTGTAGAGCGGAGAATTCCTCATTCTATCATTATTCCATCACTATTTAAATTTCTCTTTGCCGTGAGTTCCATAGACAGCCACCGCGCACGCTATTTTCCGTCAAAACACATTCCCTGACCCTTACCTTTCACTTCTACCCTTAGCACCTCTTCTGTTTCTGCTCAACACGAAGACCGGAGATTCGAAAAACATTGTGAGTTCGCTTTTGTTGAAACCGAGTTAATTGAGAAAAGTTTTCACAATGACTGACAGATTTGTGTCACTGCAGCTGTACAAGGTGCTTAGATACGCCAGTACTAAACAAATATTAACCATTACTTGCCCTTTTTTAGTAAGTAATTAACAGTTGAGTAGTAGGCACTCGAATCATTTTTGTTTCTTTTATCGCGTCTTTTTTTGGGAAACGCTTAGATAGTTGACTAGATATAGGAATCTTAAGAGATAAAGGTAACATTCGCGCTAAAAGCATTTTATTAATTAACCAAATCAAAACACGATTAAGAACTTTGAATGGCGAAAACAAGCAGAAAACAAGAGAAGCCATATGTTCAATCAGAAAAATTGCCGCTGAAATTGCATTTTTTGCTCCAAAGTAATTTAACTTTGTATATAAAGGGAATTCAACGTATCAAACGAGTTCTGTGATCAAAAGGGACACGAAGCCGGCATTTCATTTAATCATGAATCTTATGTTCCTGAAACAATGGTCCCCTACGTCGGAGAACTGTGCGCTGCACCTAAGATTTTAGTAGATTCAACTTGGCAGTTGGCGTGAAAAAAAAAAAAACAACAACAACAACAAAGAAACAACTCTTTACATTTTTTCTTTTTTTTTTTTAACGTACAACTTAGGAAATCGTTAAGTTGGCAACAAAACGAGGCAATTAAAATGAAAAGTTGATCCCGCAACTGACAAAGGAAAGTTTATCGTGAAGGGTCGGTTGCTATGCAACTCACGTAGGGGCATCGAAATTACTAAGCCCGTCTTACCCGAGACATTCTGATTTCGCACTCGGACACCAAACCACTGCGCTTCAAAGGACTCATTGGTGAGCTTAGCCATGAAGAAATTCATACGTGACACGTGTCGTGCACACTGCTAAGATCAGCCATGTTTAAAAGAGCATCACATGTTTGCAATTAAAGTAATTTTGATCGTACTGGCCCGCGTAACTGTACGAGACTCTAAAGTCTCTTACAAGAGACTTTATAGCGTCTTATAAAGTTAATAAAAGTCAGGACTGGGACAATAATGGCAGAAAAGGACGTTCCTCAGAGTACGAGACATTTTTATTTACAAACAGAAGGAAAAAGGGCTTGTTAGGGAGTTCATTCTCTTCTTTTCCCAGATAAACGTGTTTTCGGTGTACTTTGCGTAAAAACGTTCTCAAGAAAAAAACAAAACAAAACAAAACAAAGGCGACGTCTGTCTGAAAACACAATTTGCCGTCAGCAAAACCATATTTCGCTATGGTCTGTACAAGAACGGTCGCCATTGATCGCCTTCCCTACACAACAGTCGCTCATGCGCTCAAAAAGCTGTGTAGCTGATGAATCTCCTACTTCTAACACTTTTAGCTGAAGTTAACGAAGGCTTTTTTAAGGTACATTATTTGTTAATGAGGTGGAGGGGGCCCAAAGCGAGGTGGCGGAAAAGGACCTGAGGAAGGAACATAATATCGTGTGATTATTATTGTTACTGTCACCATCATCATCGTCGTTATCATCGTCATTTTCATTATTAACCCTTAACTCCCAAGATCTAATTGTTAATTCTCCCCTCTAGCGGCTACACATTTCCTTGTCAATCAGTTATGACAATTTAGTGTTGGGTCAAGATAACAACTTCTACCTGATAAGTTGGGGTTTTCTCGATACCTGTTTGCTGGATAATGTTGAATATTATAAGGAGAAGTTCCATATTTATCACTTCTGGGAGTTAAAGGGTTAACGAGTACATACTTGTGCACAGATGCACAATTTCAGTCAACAATCGAACCAGCCACGGTTAAACCTTCTCATAAAAAAAGTAAACAACAGCTAACTATTGTTTTGAAAATACAAGGTTGTCTTGAATACAGTAAAATTGGAGGACAACATCTTTCCATCAATTCGTTCATTTATCGATCGGTCAATCACTATTCAACTCTTGTATCCTTTGACTGACAATACTATACTCTATATTTTTCTCTGTCAGTGCCCGTGACACTCCTATCTTCATGTACATAAACAATAGCAGACTCAAGATGTTCAACAACTATATTGCGAGGAGTGACAATGCTGTTACAGAAGTTTGCCAAACACTGCGCCCAGTGTGCAGACTAGAAACCTTGCCAGCGGCAGCACTTACCTCGAGGAGGCATCCCAAAAGGCATGGGAGGAGGCCCAAGAAGACTTGGTATTCCGCTTGTTGGTCCCATATCATTTGGCGGGTGTGGTCTGTTGCCAGGAGGTTGGAACTGTGAATGAGGAGGCCTTGGTAAAAGATTTCCTTGATCTGATGACGGTCCTTGACCAAGAAGAGGCTATGGAAATACGAACAATAAATATTAAATATTCAGTAAACCTGAGAGAGCCTACAGAATCGTTAATTTATCTTTTTTCTTTCTGCAGGCACCTGTTGGACAAATTCCCTCTTCATCATTCACCTGTGAATAGTGCTTTCAGCGCTCACTGATTGGCTAGTCGAAGGTGATTTGCGAGCACTATTCACCTCAGAGCAGCCGAAGAGACAAAATCGCACGTCAGAGATTAATTTACAACCCATTTTTGCTATGTTGACATTCCTTGACTATTCCAGTAAAGCGGTCTGACGAGAACAGGGGCTTATCCAGTAGAGATTTTCTTAGGGTGTAAACGACTCTTTTTTTGAGAGACAAACTTTACATTCAAATTCTACAACTCAGGTCTGCTAAAATACGCAAATCCAAAGAATCTACAGAGCATAAATCTTTTCCCCATTATCCTTTTTGCCACGTGGAAATGAACTTCCCGCAACGTAATGTCTCTAAATGTCAGGCCCATAGTAATTTTGGTGCTGTCCACCTTCTCCAACCCTATGTCTTAGCTACACCCTTGAAAGAAAAATACAAGATTGGGTCTCCTGAAAAAAGAAAAAATAAAACAGACTGTGACACTCTATCAGTACATGATACTGACCTGAGGAGGTGGTGGCATGTTTGGCGGCACAGGTGGCATAAACTGACCTCCCTCCATTGGAGGGGGTGGAGGTGGCATTTGGCCTGGTGGACCAAGTGCACCGGGTGGGGGTGGGGGTGGTAGTTGGTCTGGAGGTCCAGGCATCATAGGCATGCCAGGCATTCGTGGAGGGAACATTCCTGGTGGTGGGAAGCCAGGTGGCATCATGCCAGGAGGAGGCATACCTAGAACAAGAAACAAACCATGATGCAAAATGGTCCATGTACTGTAAATAAAGTGTATGCATGAATAAAAATGAGTTTATCTACCCAAAGGGTTGGCTACAAGGGTAATTATTCGGCTCAAGGTCATGTCAAGCATGCTAAGCATAGCTAATTCCTTAGCAGGTCTGGCCTGAACTGATTTGTCAAGGCATCCTCTGGGCAGGAGATTGAGTTATGGGCAGATCAACCAAGCTCATTATACAGCGCAAGATTATAGACATCTTGAACAACAGGTACACTATAAGCAGCCCTCCTTTACTGCAAAGTCCATTGGATGAGTAAGAAAAAGATCAGTGAAAAATTTGATGTTAGCGCATCATGCACAACTCTGATGGTGAGGCACCTTACTCCCACAGTTCTGCATGGTGCATAGTGAACACTAAGGCTAAAGATGGAAGGAAACTGAGAGAGTGACTGGACTATCAACAACTCCAAGAATTAAACTTAAACTGATATTGTAATGTGCCATTAGATGCAAAGAAGATCACTGACAGTCAAACACCACATAAGGAACCACTTACCAGGAGGAGGCATACCTGGTGGAACAGGTGGCATTGGTGGTGCACCAGGAGGCATGTTGGGCATATTGGGCATGGCAGAAGGTGGAGGTACAGCCATGACTGCAGGGGGCATGATTGAGGTAACTGCTGGTGGTGCTACAGAAGCAGCAGGAACTGGAGGTGCATCTGCAAACAGCTGATGAGGTCTGTCGGCTTGGGCAAGAGGATTCTGTGCTGCTAATAGACGCTCTGGAAAGAGAAGATAAATTGAGAGTAAGCTCATGTCACATCAAATGTGGGGGGGGGGAAAGGCTCATTTCAAGGGGAGAGGGGTTTACCAAAAATCATTGATGAGAGCCAAAATGCAAATTATATGCTTTACCTCTGATTGTTACTACACTAACAGGAATATTTTCATAGCTTTGGTCCACAGGGAAAAGGGAAGGGGGGGCAGAAGCTCCAAATAATGGAAGGGGTGACTCTTGGAGAATGGAGCTCAAAGGGCTATTAATGGCTACCAGAAAGAGAAATTGCATAGAGAGTTGATATCGCAAGAGAAGTAAATGTAAAGCAATTTCATCAGAACAACTTTCTAACACACTAACAAGACAATGCACCAAACAAATATACTTGTGTGAAAAATCAAAGTACATTATTTCAACCTTTAAACTCCCAGAAGTAATTACTATGTAACCTCTCCCTAGAGTATCCATACATTATACAGCTAACAGGCAGTGAGAATATTAAAACCCATCAGGTACAAGTTATTACCTTGTTTGAACACCAAATTCTCGTAATCAATTTACAAGGAAATGTTTAGTCACTGGAGGGGAGAACTGATGATCAGATCTTGGGAATTAAAGGGTAAACAAGTTGTGCATGAAAGAAAAGCAAGTTAGAAAAAAACACCCATACCTGCTGCAGACCCATGTCTCTCACCCTTTGATTCCTTCTTAAAGGCATAGGAAATTGTAATTGGTCGATTGCACAAGTACTGCCCGTGCATAGCTTCCATGGCAGCATCAGATGCTTCAAAACTTGCAAAGTTGATGAATGCAAAGCCTTTGGAGTTACCAGTCTCAGGATCCCGCATGATCTATAAGTGTTTAGGACATTCCACGATGAGATATCTCACATAATTTGATTGATTACAACAATATTACATGTACATGTAACTGGACCACCTGATTGTATATGAGACAATTAAATTGACTGATTAAATGACTTTTTGACAAATTAACTATAAAATGCAAACAAATGTACAGTTTATCCTGTGCAATTTGTTTTCAAAACTTCAAAGTATGACAAATTAACTTTAAAATGCAAACAAATGTACAGTTTATCCTGTGCAATTTGTTTTCAAAACTTCAACCACTCCCCAAAAAATATATTCCATTGATTATTGGTACATGTGTGCTTACGATCAGTGGGAGATACTTAACATTGAAATCACTACAGAGATATTTGTGTATCTAGTGATAGCTTATTCTCTAAATTTATTTTATTTGCACAATCAAAGAAAAATGGACTAAAGGAACATGTAAGTTTTTATTATCATCAAAAATGCAAGTTAAAGAGGTTAAACTTATTTCATTGAAATTTATAGTCAGATTATTCCATGGGAAAGAAAAACCCTCTGAAATGTACCCCATTCCCAATGTGTGCCTTCCTAGCTCACTTGGTAGCCGGGCCCAGCTAGTACATGTACATGCATCTAGGAGACACTGGTTCAAATCCCATCAAACCCTGAATTTTTTTGCAGGCTTCTTTTCTATAATTGCAGCTCACCCTTTACAATCAATGCTTTACTTGTAATCATTATGCCAACACACAGTTCTAAGTACAAAAATTTAAACAACCAAATATCAATCACCCTTCACGCATTTCTCTTTGAGTAGCTCTTTGCAAGTGGTAACATGTAAAATGCATTACCTTTGGGGTTTGAAGAATAACTCCAAAAGCACTAAATGTGTCATACAGCAGTTTCTCATCAATCTCTGGATCAAGATTGCCAATGAAAATGTTGGCACCCACATCAAGGTTCTTATTGTGCGCTGATGCCTGAAATTCCAAAATAAAGTTGGTTCTTACAGTAGAAACAAAACATGAACTTGACACTTACAAGAACAACTAATCACATCTAATTTCCACCCATTCACTGCATACAGTAGATACAATAACACAACTTGAAGAGATTATCATCTTTAAGGTGCTTCTCTAACAGTGCCAAACAATTAATAACAAAACATAATTATACAGTCAGGCATAATCTACCTTGTTCACTCTAATTGGCTTCCCATATACTTTTATCATGTTCATCACTTTGATGGCATAATCAGCATCCTCTTCGCCAAGGAATTCAATAAACCCATACCCTTGATGAAGCTGGGTGATGCGATCTTTAGGCATGTGCACATTCACTAAAGAAATAGGTAAATAGAAAGTCAAGAATTGAGCTGATGGGCTTATATGGCCATAACTTATCCTGTTTTCTTTAGAAGGAAGCAGATGAGAACATTGTTGATTCTCCTGGATGGCACTAAAGTCCATTGCAATTTATCCCCTGGCATTTTGCTGGGTTACCCTGGCAGTTTGCCTGTGCCCATTTGCACTCCTAAGTAGAGAGAGATGCTGTGAGAGAAAAGTGTTTTGACAAAAAATGCATCACAATAATCACACCAGGTCTGCACACAGGACTTCTTTACCCTGAGTCTAGGGCCAGAGTGTCTCCTACAGAGATCACCTTTATATCAATAAGAATGCATACTGCACATACAGTACATCGTGTAGCAATGATATACAAAATCTCAACCCTGGTTGCTTGGTAGGAGATCAAAACTAACAGCCTTTACTTACCAACTGGTCCAGCTTGAAGAAACAGTTCCCACAAGAGGGTTTCTGCAACTTTTTCATCTAATCCACCCACATAAATTGTGGCATCTATTTGAATTGAAAAGAATAAAAAATGGACATAGTAACATTTGTTTGCTTGTTTTTCATCATTTTGTCATACTTTGAAACTGCATTCAATACTCAACATAAGCACTCTGTAAGCATTGGTTTACTCTGAATTATTTTACAAGAAAAACAGCTGTTCAGTTGCATAAGTAGTTTCAGACTACACCACTGGTCTTGAGAGTAGGGAAGGGTAATAGAAACAATTATTACGTACAGGCAAAAATTGAGTAAATAAAGAAGATTAAGTCTGAATAGGCAGAGAACTTGAACAGTGATCTGTTTAACTTTTAATCCAAATGAGAAAATCTTTGTAAAACATGGGGTTTAGAGCTATTTTAATTGCTGGCAACGAAAAGAATTACAGATCTCGAAAATCGCCGGTCCACAGCCAAAGGGGAAGATCCTGAATTTCCGTTTGTCGTTTCTCGCATTGATCAAAGAAAAGACACAATATTCAAAACTTAAAAAAGGGCACTTTGAGCTTTTAACTCAGCGACTTTTAAGCTTATTCTGTACTAAGCAGTCCTCACGTGAATAAAAAACTCGATGTTCAAACGCTGCAAGTTTATCTAGATCTCAACATGAATAAGATCTCAACGAAATGCAATTACCGTCCTCGTTTCTTGTGTCTTAACAAAGATCACCTGAGCACACTAGTACGACAAGTGAAGAATTCCTGCTTTAACTGACAAAATTCTTTTCTTAGAACGCATAGATTTAACGAGAGCTACATGTAGTGTTTAACAAATCATGATCAAAGGACCAGAAAACGATCAAGCGTTCTTACTACGATAATTGATGCTGTGGTAATCAATTAGTAAATAGGCATCGTAAACACGAGTTGACGAATAGCGTAGCAGAAATATACCCAGTGATATCATAGATACTTGGCATAGGCAAGCCAAATGGCAGAGCCTTCTGAGAAAGAAAGAAAATTCGCACATTACCTTGATTGCGCTCGGCTATCGGTCCGGCCGCCATGCTGAAATTAACAACTTCCCGGCAATCATCGGGGTGAAGATGCAAATAACCGCTGATCAAGAATTACGGGGGATGCGAACAACCGCTGTTCAAGAATACTGCCTAGAAATATCCTAGTAAATTCTAGTCACGCTCTGTAAACGAAAGCAAGGGTTTTGAGTGCTCTTAAATTAGAATAACAGGTTTCGCCCTTGGCTCTACTAGAAAGTCAGACTGAGGCGAGAAGCAATCGACGGAAAAACGATGTGGGGGGATGGGGAAGTAGGCCTCCAAAAATTTCCGCCTAACCTACGTGTAGCCGTTCGCTTCCCACCCCCCCTCTCTCTCCATCAAGGTGGAGCGGAGGCGAGGTGGCTTTCAGGAACACCTCTTGTTCGCCCAGGCTTGGTTGGTCTTGACGGGCACGACTTGCAAAAAGAACTAGGCTACATTCCCAAGAACGTGCGCATTCTAAATGGCAATTGCTTGTACTCAAAAAGCTGCAAAATGTGGCATGTTCCAAGCAGTAATTACCGCAAGTCAAATTTTGACCGAAAGCAGAGAATGTGGGGGGATTGTCTCGTCTGTGAACGATATGTAAAAAGCGCACTCGACAATAGGCAATCGTTAGATGCCACTAAACGAGAGGATCGGCGAAATCCCAGAAGCAATTACCCAATCCAATTTTTGTCGCCCAAAAAACAAGTCCCTTCGTCTAAGTAATGCTCGCCAACTTCGATCGCAAATGGTCAAGAAGCTTTTTCAGCTCGCCGAAGCCATTAAAAAATCCAATAAAGGCCAAGAGGGGCTTTGTAGGACTGTTAAAGAAGGGAAGCATTACAAAAATGGAAAGGGAGCCGGGTAAAGCTGGAAACTTCGTACAGGACATTTGGCAGAAAGATCGAGAAAGTTTGCAGCGATTTAATTCAAATAAATGACCAGCTGCTATCACCAGTAGTGTATCAGAATTGATAAGAATGTTTCTTGTAAAAAAAACCTTTGTTCTCAAAACGGTAAGCGAAATAAACTCTGCCAGAGAGTCCGAGAGTTTCGGACTATCGCACTTAGTGCCACCTCATTCCATCAAACTTAAAATTAATGATACAGTACTTACTGGTCGCGCAACCGGTTTCGTAGATGATATGCAAATTCATCATGTTTTCCAACAGGAGTCAGTTACCATTTCCTAAAATTTGCATTATAAGAAAAACCCTAACCTTCGGCAGGTGCGTTAGAATAATTTTCATTTGTAGTAAAAGTAAGCCTTAAATACCAACGTATTGCACTCTGGCAGTGGCCACACACACGAAACGGAATATGGTTTGAGAAAGACATCACAAGAAATCAAGTTTTTTCTTGAGTCTAAAAGTGGACATTTATTGCTTTATTTGAGGATTCTGTTTGGATAAGGTCAGAGGTTGTTTATCGTGTTACTTTCCTTCATATTTCTTTGCCAATTTTGCCCACAACAAGTACAAAAATTGAAATTTGTTTTGATTTTTTAGCGAACAGTGAGTTGTTGGTTTCATTAAGGTAAAATATTGGAAAAGTTATCGATTTTAACAGAAAGCCAAACTTATTATTTCAGTGATTAATTTCCCTTTTTACTTCAGTTTATTTTCAAGTTCTTTGCATGAAGAGAATGCTCTAGAATATCGTTGGTCAAGAGCGGTTTCTCGAGATTTTCTGAGGATAGTTTCGGACATACCATGCAGTCGAGCGAGTGCATATCCCTCTTACGATGTACACGAGACATAAAGCCTTATTTATGGGGCTTAAACGTCGTTGATGCTGCTTTGAGAAGCGCAATTCAATCACTGTGGGCTAGAGTTGGTACCGAGACAAGTTTGATGCTTACGCGTCGATCAATTCGAAACTTCAACTTCCCTCCCCTGTGAAAAATTAGCTCTTCAAATTCCAACCCCCAAGGCCAAAATTATGCTCAAATGCCTTAAGTTAATTTTTTTTGGAAACGGAAAACTCAGCGATCGTGACTTTTCACACATTTACCGAGCTCTAAAACTCTTCACCTTGCAGACCTTTACTTCTTTAGCCCTCTAGAAAGACTTGACATTTCCGGTTCAAATTCCCCACCCCAGCCACATAAGGTTCAAATTTCCCATTCCCCAGAAACGGACGACAATAAAATATCAGAGGGGGGATGTTGAATTGATCAATGCGTTATTTCTTAGTCCCGCTTTCGTTCGTTTACATGTACTCCCTTTTTGAAAACGTTTGTGTCAGGGGTAAGTATTTGTTACTAAAATGGGATGCAAAACGTGACACCCAATAAGACTTGAACTCGTAAAGGCACTGATCTATTTAATGTTCCATATCGACGGCAGAATAGCTCATTGCTCATAAATTATTTTCCACTTTTGTGTCAGAACATCGCAATATCCTTGGTACAGTTTAGTCCGTTCGCGTTTTGACTCCAAGTCGACCTAGTGTAATCTAACGCGACACGATGTGTTGTATCGTGACGAAGTGCTGACTACTGGCGCAAGTGTCAAGTGACAAAATATTCTTCTCGATTTGCGAAAATTTTCTGGAGTTTGAAAAGATTCTTGGATTGTTATTTGTCAATCAATTAATTAAACCAGGATTTGAAATTGTTTTCTCGATTTGACAAACGTTTCAAAAGCGATTTTTTCTAAAAGATATCGATTCTGAACGAAGTTTTTTCGGATTTTCAAAATAATTTTTGGATCGTCCCTTTTCGGCTTCCGTACCTCTCTCGTTGCCATAAAAAAATAGATGAAATATGGGTTTTCAGTTTTCGGGTCGCAGATCTTGGGTCTTACCTTTCGTTTTCACTACAACCGACAGTTCAGTGATGAACAAGGATTCAACTCGAATTCATTGTTTCATTTTTCATGTAGATTATGTATAAAGCTAGTGTTAAGCCATCGAAAGAAGTTTTAAAAAATATCCTTCACGAACGGTCTCTCAAAGCTAAATAGATCCTAGGGTAAACTCAATTCGCGATTGCGTGCGCATTCCAAAGAGGTGACGTTTGTTTCAAACAACACTCAATTCATGTCTCTGCCCTTAGTGAGGGCGTCTCGTGTAAGCATTTTGCGCTCACCGTTAGTGAAAAAAAAAATTGCAAGGAAGTATCCTGAAAGGTTGGGTTTCCTTTATACTGATAAGAAAATTGAAACATGCGGAAAACGGAGATAAGAACCCCTCAAAAACGTGATGTAATTTACATAATATCTAACGAAGAATATCTAAACCGCTGGCGTGACAAGGAGGATCAACTGCAAATGTAGTTGACAGGCACCAGATTTTGATTAAGTCACCAATCACCACCAAATAAACTAGGTTGGAATTCACAACAACTTTTCCTTTTTTCGAAAGTTGTCGTTCTCAAAACGGTAAGTGAAATCAACCCTTCCGAGCGTTAATACTGGATCGATTGTTTACATTCATTGAGTAACCAAATATTTATTCCATTGCGACATTGTCGCTCAGAGATATTTGCTTTTGCTCAAAATCAACAGATACTTCCATAATATTAGGAAAACTTCCGAAGCTTGGACTTCATTTCTGACCGGTAAGCTGATTTAGGAACTGATCCCAATGATAGCTAAGTCATCATAGATTAAAAACTTTTCTCCATTGACCTTTCACTTTCCCCCATTTTTTTAATTGGATAATTGGATAATTTTTTTATCCATAAATAAACATTGTTCCAAATAAATGACAAGAAAAAAAGGGTCATCGCTGCGCGAGTACTGGGATAAAGATTTAGAGGCGCGCGAGAACGTTTTCGGCAAGTGAATATTTTTCTCTCGTGGGCCGCGCACGTCCACTTTGTGTAACAAAATAAATCTCGCTTTACATGAGGTGTGAACGTCAACAAGATTAATAAACAATCAGTAGTCATCAACAGGAAAGTAACTGTCATTTTGTTCAAATCTGTACACGAGTATCCTACTGTGTTAGTCATTACTTTCACGTTTCGTTTTCCTTCGTGGCTAGTTTTAAATCACAGCGTTCATTTCAGTTCAGCTCGGGTTATCTTAATCCCCTCAAATATTGACCAAATAAATTAAAATCGGGAATTTTCACTATATCTCTTTTGGGCCGGTTGACGCCTGTTAAAAGAAGATACTGGACTTCCATGGCAAAACTATAATTGTCTTTTTCAGGTGGTCGGCTAGTGATCTTGACAGAATCACTGGAAAGAAAACAAACAAGTGCGTGCCATGCATTGATACACTCCAGCCTTTTATGCAAATTTTATTCGGCCGCAATTATCACAGAGATAAACATAGTCTTCTGCGAGAGCAATTAGTCTTCTGAGCAAGCGAAGAACCACCGGCGTGTTACGGCACCGGCATAGAGCATTTTCCACGGTAGTTGAGCAAAACACATTACTATTGGTAAGTTTGAATTGTTTTTGCTTTAGGTGAGTTCAAATGACTGATCTCTTGATGGAAGTTCGTTCATTTCAAAGCCTCGTTGTAAGATAGCAACCGAGATTAGGTCTCGTAATGCTCCTATTTTATCGGTATCTGGTTCTGTTTGAAGAAGCTGAAGCTCTGTGTTTCATTGTGTATTTTTCACGGCTTCGAAGTCATCCATAGAAATGTAAACATGTTCGAAAAATTCCAAACACACTCAACATTTTGTACATATTATTACATCTAGCCTGACGGAGACGAGTCCCAAAGGAGTTTCTTGCTTTGCATCCGTCACCAGATATTTAAAACTACTTGCATTGATTGAGTTGTCAGTGAGCTGTCATGCCCTCGATTCAAACGGCATATTTTCGAACAAGATAAAATTTCTACAATAATATTCTTATCTACTTAAGACAGCAAGAAAACTTTACTCTGTTTTGATAACGAATTTTTGAAATAAATGAGTGCTATCGCACCGAGGCACATTTCGCCTTGATGTAAATTAAATATGCCTTTCTGAAAACTTAAATCCGTCATTTCTTTATTAAACAAATTTTCCTTCTCTGGGATTTAATGTTCGCATTTGTTCCTCCATATGTTTTTCTGATGAATTATTAATCAGAC